ATATTGCATCAGAATAGAAGAAAACACAATTTTGGGTGCTGCTGCCATGATGACCATTATGGGAAAACCATGTTACTGATGATTGCCAAACGTTCAAAAAAGAAATACAGGACTAAAATGCAGCCTGAGTTGGAAAAGCAGTCTAATTGGCTTCTTTTTCTGGAAGTTATACATTTTCAAAGTGTGAACTTGAACTGCCATGGGCCTGAAGCCTTATGCTTGTTACACATTTTACTTACATTGGTATTACCTGTTGAGCATAATTAAAATTTGATGTTGAATTTGCAGTTTAACATAATGTACTTTTGCATCAGAATTGACAGTAGCCTATTTTGTGCATAGTTATTTCCTGCTTTTTGTCTGTACATTTGACAGCTTTGCTGCCTTGTCATTTATAATTATCAATTTGAAATCTTTACTGGTATTATCATGGCAGTTATGCTTTTGTGTTAAAAAAAGTATGTAAGATTTTTTTAAAAGACACTTTTCCTGTCTTACACTAGAACTACTAGTAGCCTAAGGATGCCTTTTAGGAGTATTACGTACATTGATTTCCTGTCATAGGAAGCCTGTTTCATCTTTCTGTGGCTTTGCCCACCATCATTGTACTAATAATTAAGGTATCTGAGTGTTAGGTATATTGGCTTCCTGTGGTTAGAAATTGAATCACAAGGTCTGCTAAAAAAAGGCCAATATTACATGTATAACTAAGTTCAGTAATAGTACTATTAAGTTGCCATAATTTGACTGGAAATGTCATTTCTCTCTTGTTTCTTAAGGGCCGTCCATTTTTATCATCATTTTCTCTTATGGTACTTCAATGAAAACACTTTTTCCAGACCTCTCTCTCTCCCCCCCCCCCCCCCCTCCTTTTCGGAGAATACAAGCTAAAAAATTATGACCTTTGACAGCAATTTGGATCAGAATTTTTATTAATTTTCAAAAGTGTCCAGAGGGCATTAACACCCCCTCCCAAGGGTACGATTTAAAGCCTTGTGAAGAAAGATGATAAAAAATGCATGACCCCATACTGTCATATGTCATTACTAGTAAATGACTATCAACTTAAGTATGGTTATCTTGTTGTAGAAAAGACAATTAATGCACAGCATACCAACTACACTGGAAAGAAAACGCCTTTGGCCCATGGCAAGAAAGCAAATTTTAAATTGAAGGACATTGTCAAGGTAAATGATTAAGAAGTATATGTATATAATGTACATGTACAGGCCGTGTGCTTTAGTATGGTGTTGCTTAATGGAGTACAGCTGAGAAATGTAATATTGACTGTGTTATGGAAAGTCAAAGATGTAAATGAAGGTATTTTTTTTGTATGTTTGTATGTGTGCATGGAAAAGTGTTATTGCACCATGCAATGCACGTTTGAATGTGTTAATTTTAATTAAAGAAGACTTCCTTCATAGCTAGTACTTATTAACACTGTAACAAAGCACTGTTCCCAAGAACTGTTTTCTGTATAGTTAATTGAAAGGGATCGAAAGCCACAGTACAGAAATTATTATTCATTCAATATGAATTATTATATTCATTCAATATGGAACTACCATCCCAGACTTGGAGAAACAGGGATATATGCGACCAAAACCCTTTTAGATACTGTAAATTGTATAATTACTTTTACTTATTTTACAGGACATGCAAAATTGTCATCTCAGCAAGGGCTCTAAATCCAGGTCTCCCAGAAACTCGCTGGACAGCAGTTACTTTGCAAGGTTCAGTTTCTCATCTGAAGACATTCCTGCTGAGGTTGGCTTTAAAAAATCTGACAAAGAAAGCAGCAAACCAAGACGCAAAGAGAGGTCACTGGCTTTAAACACAGTGCCGCCTACGCTGACAAGCTTTTGGTCAAATCAGTCAAAGTCAACTAGTGTGCCTGATGGGACAAGTCTTTTTTTCAGGGGTAATGGTTCTGCTGGAGCATCAGCATCTAATAGCATAATGACAAGACCCAACCAGGAGAGTTTAGCTCAAGAGGCCAGGTCGATTTCTTCTCGATTATTTGACCAACCACTGGATGCAGTAAGAGGAGGGGAAAAACAAGGAGTGGGTGCTACGGACCCAGCGGGGAATCGTAGCGCAGGTTTTGCAGGAGCAGCACCCCGTGCTTTTTCCCCTCACTCTTGCTCAGAACTAGAAAGAATGAGCTCTGGTGGTTCTCTTGTAGCTCAGAGAGGATCAGTTTCCTCCGTTACTCTCTCCAATACAGACTCGGATAGTGAGAGGCCTTATGCATGTGTCACTCCCATCACTGAAGGTTGGAGTCCCCTGAATCCAACAGTTGGCTTCAATGCTGTGCCAAGTGTTGAGGAAGAACAGCTGCTGCAGTCAACTGCAGGGGTATTCACTCTTGAGAATCCAAATAATCAAAACACACGATCACACAGTGCATTGGTTGAAAATCACGGTCACAGTGGTGACCAAAACATAACTTCAGGTCACAATGTTACAGTTGATCAAGGCACTTCTACTGGAGCAGCTTTGCCTGATCCAGATCAAAGTACACTTAATCCAGATCAAGCAAGGGGTGATTCAATTCAAGGTGTCTCTAACCCAGATGGAGCTTTCAGTGATCTTGGACAAGCTGCCTCTAATTCAGATCAAGCCTCGCCTAATCCATATGGTGCAGCAGCGGGCAATACAAGTGTGTTTGGCACTGGAGAGTTTCGCTTTGCTCTCAGTCCTGCAGTGACATTTAAATCAAGTGGAAGGGTCCTAAGGAAAGCTGCCAGAAGACTAAGACACAAATGACTGGTCACGACAGAGAATCTACTTGCAATGGGCTCTTAACTGGAATACTTAATCGCATGTGCATTGTTTGTTGTTGTATACAGCAATGCATGTATGTCCCATGGACTGACTATTAGTAAAGAGCATTGCATTACTACATAATATGCTTCTTTTTTAAATTTTCCCCTTTAAAAAATGAATTCTACTGAAGTGAAATTGGCCTATTTATGAGGTGACCTATGCGTATGTAAAACAATGACATGGGTTACCCATTTTATACATTATCTCCTAATACATGTATTTTAGGAGAATAAATGCAAGCTCCTTATATTTTAAGGAGAATAAATGAAATAAAATTCAGCAAAAATAAACATTGATAATTTTTCTTTCCTGCTCCTTTTTTAATGCTGTGTGAATGGGTTTTAAAGGTAGAGATAACAATGCAACATAAGATGCAACATTTCATTAAATAAGTGAGTGATATTGATATTGTGGTGTAGAGAAGCAGTTTTCATTACACATAATACATGTACCTTCCAGTATTTCTTGCTTTGAAGCATATTTTGAAAGTGAATGTGTTTATTTATATTCACATACAAGAAGATTTAAGGGTGGAATTCTATTCAACCTGAAAATAATACTGTGTTTCCTAATTAGTTTTTAGACCATTATATTACAGAATTAACTCATCAGCACCTTTTCCTGTTCTTTTATTCTAGAGCTTTATGTATATATGAAAAGCACTACCAATATTTATAAACAACTAGCCAAAGTGCAATAAAATCTATGATTTTGTTAATATTTGTTTTTTATCAACTTACACGAAAAAGGAACATGAAAAATATATGTTTAAGATATTACACGACTATATTTGATTACTCCCGAATGTGCACTCCGTTTATAGGTATTCAGGGCAACATCGGACATTAAAAACTTAAATCCTTATGAATACGTCTTTATTACGCACGGACGAACACCGAGGTTCACGTACTTAAACAGACAAATACGCCAGTACAACAGGTGCATGACCGACAATTCTGACGTTCCGAGGCAATGGGAAACTGGTCTCTATCACCATTTCCATCGAGACCATCACATGTAAATAGCTATAGCTTGTCCCCGGTGTGGGGAAAGTCGCAGTTACATGCAGGGCCCTTCATCTCAGGCTAATCAAGACCTTCAGGCTCGTTTCCAATGAAAATATCGGTCCAAGGAGATCGATCCAACTCTGCCGGGACGCTTGCTGGGTGCAATCAGATAAAAAGATTTATACGTCTCCTCTTTTCTTCCAACATCTTCGTAAAAGCATCAGCTTTTCTGTATTCTTTTCAGCGCCAGGAGGAGGCGAGTTAATCTCTTAATTTGATTACATTCATCACGAGCTATATCAGTCTACGTAGACCAATAGTTTAATTGGGAATGACCTCTTAGATCCTATCTAATTTATTGGGCTGATAATGCACGTATGATGGGCAGTGGATAATTGATCTACGTGGACAGATTATTTCATTGGGAATGAGCCCTTAGATCCTCTCTAATCCATAGGGCAGATGGAGTGCGTCTGAAGGGTAGTGACAAATCACCGGTATATATATATATATATACAGTACTCTGAAACACGGGGTGATTACACATTACGTGCACATAGGCAGACCTGTAAAATAGTGATATCATTACTTAATGATGCCGATTCAATTTAACTGAAACCAAAGGTGTGCACAGGAAAACCCCGTCTCACTAGGTGTAAATAAAGTCAGACTTGTTTTTGGACATACATGTATATATCCGCGCCGGCGGAAATCTAGCCAGATCCATAAAGTCGTGGTCTTATCAGTTTTAACAAACACGTTTTTGAATCAATTAAGCCCTTTACATGTATTCTCTCTCCCATCCCTACTGTGTTGACTCCCTATATCTTAAACTCGATTATGCTTGAACTGGTGAGAACAGGACATCAGGTCGGCTGTCAGGTAGGGCAGAGGCTATAGCTGCTGGTGTTGTTGTCAAACGGGTTGTGTGGAAATAGATGAATGAAGTCAAGTGCCTACATATTTCCACTTCACGACGCACCCATGTAAAAAATAGTGTCACAGATATTTATGGCGAAGGTGTGATATTACAGTTTGAGTACAGACACCAAGCCCAAACAAATGCCTTGGGCAGAGGGGCGGGGGGGGGGGTTCAGCATCTTAATACGTACGTCTGTAGCCGTACTAGTGTCCTTGCTATCATCAATAGCTAGAAACGGGAAAACTTTTGGAAGGGTACGTGATAGGCTCATCACTAAGTCACGTTCACAGCCCACTGTTAAAACCGGCGTTGATTTTTAAACAGAATCAAAAATACGCCCACGTTCTTTCTAAAACCTGACTCTGTTATGCTAATATTTTACGGCTTGACTTCGTTTAAAAGTTACCCGTACGCATTTAAGGCTTAAATAGGCCAATGCCGCGACCCTGACCCGTACTAATGGAATTCCAACTGTATTCAGGTAAGCTTTTTAAAATCCAAAACAATGAATGTCCCATTTTATATCTGTCCAATATGATTTAATGTAATATGTGGTCTGTCCTTAAGTCAGGGGATCAAAAGTGACTGTGCTACAGTACATGTAGCTATCTCTTACTACAGGGATCCAGACGGCTCATGGGACATGTCATCTTATGAAATAAATCTAAATATTCGAGAACGAGTATCTTATTTCTGGTCTTTCTATTTGTCAGATTGGATAACATCTCACCCTTAGTGTGGGAAACAAAAACATATTCCAATGTCTCTCTCTCAAGCTGTCAAGGGCCAGGACTGCGGAGGGGGGGGGGTATTTATTTATTTATTTATTTATTTATTTATTTATTTATTTATTTATTTATTTATTTATTTCGAGCATCTTTTTGAAGTGTCAGCTTTTATCGTTCTCCTGTCCATCGGCAGTGTCTTACAAAATCTTCTCCATTACAGTAATTAAAAGAACGTCAGTAAGCGTCTGGATGAGTACAGTATACAATAGGCGGTCCAAGTCAGACAAGTAACCTGCTAACCCACACTGTATTGTTTCTCAGCCTACGACACAACTCTACAGACTCTCTCCTCTCTCTCCCGCCTCCCCCCCCCCTTCTTTCTCTCTCTCTCACGTCACGCGCACTTGGTTCCACGTCACTTTGAACTCCTCCTGCAAACAACAACCCCATTCGGTGCTACGTATGGACCATGCGTCGTATAAAAATCAGACCTGATGTGATTCATTCCCATGCAACTATGCCATAACGTTAGATGTTTGCCTATAAGCCTGACGGATGTGTGTATATGGGCACAGTAAGCGTGTGATTGACATTAGCAGCAAGATCTGCACAGCGCCTGAAGCTCTTGAAGGCAAGTTCATATGCTGAGGAGAGCCTGCCGTAGACAGCACCAGGATTTATCATATGAGTAAATAGGTTGGACCCTATAACCGAGCTGAAAATATTAATGAAGTTTACTGATTCGTTCACCTATGCGTTTCACCTTGCTGAACTGACTCATCCATGTGAGCTTTTGGGTTGGTGAAAGGGGATTCTTGGAAGGAGCTAGGATTCATTTTAACGCTCAGCTGTTAAGAAGGCACAAAGTGACTGCCGTATTGCTTCTCTGATTCTGAATTGTGAGCCTCCTCACACCTTTACGGAATATCTACTGTGTCAGGTAGGTAGAACCGGTAGAATGGAGTATAGAAGAACTAACTAACCGCCCGGAATACCGGTGGCTTGGCTGTCGTTTTAAGTTATGCATTCAGAGATGATCGTTTTCCTTTACATGAAGGGCACGCTTAATCGTCTACGGTTGACGAGTTTTGTATTTTCCCCTACATTACCAGCAGTAGACGAACAGCTAGCAGCAGCAGACGTTATTCAGACTAATTTTCCATCGCATCTCACTCCAGGTGAAATCGGTTTATTTGTAATTGTACTAGCTCGTACATCAGCATTTGGTACCTGTGCCCCCCCCCCCTTTACTACCGCTGTGTATTGAGTTAGGATTCGAAAGGATGTGCGGTTATTTTTTCTTCAGATAACATGTTTTCAAAGGAGCAGTAAACCTGATAGGGTTTGTCTAAAAGATAAAGGCCGTTCTTTGTGTTAGTGTGTCGTTATTGGCTTCGTTATCGAGGTGAGCGCTGTTTTTCTGCATTTTTCGTCTGTCTTTGTTTGTCAGTCGTGCACTCTTGTAGAACCTTAAAGCCGCCCACTGTTTTACTTCAGAGTTGATTTGACCAGGGAGTTTTTGCTGGAGCTCCTTCATTTGACCACGATCCCGATATAACCGTTTCCGTCACCAAAAGGATGCGCTTTGACACAGATATGTACCTGTCCTCATTCAAGTCTAGATGATGTCACCAGAAGGCTTAATTCATTAGCTAATGGTTTTGTAGGCATAGTGACAAATTGGGATTTCCCCTTTTCCTTGGCAAAAAATCTTAGAATGATGGTATGGTTTGTATCCATGTTAGAGCCAGTCAAGATATGCGTATATATATATGGCCGCCAACAAGTGAAATACCTTAACTTGGGTTTTTCAGGTTTTGCCTGAAGACTCGATGTAAGGTTTTAAGCCGGTACTTGGTTCACCTGACAAATTGACATAAGAAAAACCGACGCAATGTTAATTCCGGTACACCTATTAAGGCCGTGAAAGACGAGCTGTCATAGTTCAACCCTGTAGAATTTGGTGAAAAGCCAGAATTGAAAAAATAAAAAGACGGTGTTGTCTGGCCCGAGGCGCGCCTAGAATTTTTTTCCGTGCATACTTGCATTGGTAATTTGTACACCTAGTCAATATGAATTTGGTATCCTGACGAGTTTGAAAGCTACTGTGGCGTGAAGGCTTAAGTTTGAAAAGAAAACATCAGGTAGGGAAATAGTTTTTTATAACCTCATTTTCTAACAGTTAGGCCTATATCTGATGGGAATAGACTTCTACCATGACGGGGTACAACCTTTCCTAGAGTATGTTAAAGTTGTCTTGTTATTTGTGCTGTTGTTCAGCTAAATATCTTTTTTGCTCTAGATTTAGAGTGATGTATGTGAATTAAAGCTGGGGACAGAAAAGAAGGCTGATACATATACATATTCTATCAAGTATTAATTGAGCTACATTTTCACCACAAACTATTAACTGGATGGCCTCGACTCCTATCTGGCAAATTCCCTTAAAAGGAAAGGATTTAGCAATATACCAATAGAAAACGTCTTCCCTTACTCGGGTTATATTTTTAATAGTTCTAGCCTGATACTTGGACATATTAGTATTCAGTTTTTAAAACTCCCATCTCACTTACCCTAGGTTCTAGATTCCGGTATAGCCAGCTCGATCTTGATTTCATATATAACCCATATCAACAATACTAGTAAAAGCGACTCCATCACAAGGTATATACCGGGGGGTATTTAACAAGCTAGCTTTTACGTTGCTCTGACACTCAGGGTAATCTCACTACTTTATGCTTGAGTATCTGTATGTTTAGTATATTATGGTAATCATAAACTATACAGTTGTATAAGCCCCATCACGAAATCTTAAAATGTTGGTCCTCCAGAGCAATTCTAAAGAGGGGTCTACATGTACCAGTTTTATCATCATTTTCACAAGTCTACAAAGCTTTGACTTTTCCCAGACCCCCCCCCCCCTTTAGAGCGTACAGTGTGAAAAAATAAAAATGATAGCATTTGACAGCAATTTGGATAATCACTTTAATCATTTTTAAAAGCGTGCAGAGTTCATTAACCCCCAGCCCCACCGCCCACCCCCAAGCGTACGGTTAGTGGAATTGTGAAAATGGTGATGAAAATGGATGACCCTAGATAAAAAAGGCCCATGAAGTAGTTTGAGCCTGATATAAATATATGTACCCAATATATGTTAAAGTGAGAAATTGTTCCTGGAACAAATGTTTATTGATATAACAAAAATATGATTGACCAGTTGGATATATGTTACCCTCCCCGCCTCCCCTTTTCTGTGTCGAGTATATTATAATAGAAGCTCAAAGTTAATCTTTTAGTGCAAAATCGGTTATTAATCTAATAACTGTCAGCCAGTTTGTATTAAAAGTGAAATTTATCAAAGTAATTATCACTATTAGATAAACGTTATCTAAGCTCATGGCAATATAGATGGGAAGCACAGTTATAGCTAAGAGTGTTATCATAAATCACGGAAATACTGCTAGACGTAATCAAATTATTACAAGACTGACATGTCAACCTTTATCGAGCGACCGATTTTTTAATGCTTTGATTGTATGTTTTGTCCACTATCACGCTTGTCCTTGCCCTGAGGTAAATAGGTTGAAAATCGATCAGGTTAACCACCCCGTGGTAGTGATCTCTCAGAATCCTGTGCCTTCTCACCTGGGCATAGACTGAACGGTGAATATCTGGACAAATTCTAGGGCGGGAAATCGTCTGCCTTCTGATGCCTTCGGTTCACTCATCCCTGTGATCATCAAATCCGCTATCATCATCATCACCATCATCATCATGAATACCGTCATCAGCATCAACCCTTCACTCATATCTTCCTTATTAACCACGTCATGGGCTATCAGGTCAAACTCTTGCTTTGTCTACGATCCAACCTGCCAACTAGGATTTAAAAGAAGTTTAATTTAACGAGCACATTTGAGTATAATGTCGATACTAACTGGAACACAGACAAGACTGACAATAGCGAACTACAGTTAACATGACGGTATGGTGTGAGCAGAGGGGTTGAATGCACTAATAAATCTCCTCTCAAGATGCATTTACTGCAGGTAAACGGTTGATTATTTTGTTCAATATCAGCGCAAGAGTTTGCACAAGGAAAACTCCCCCAGATGTGAGTCATTAGGTACAGGTATGGTGGGTACTCGTGTTTTTTTTTCTTAATATACTCGATGAAGATACTTTCCACCAACTATGAGAATGAACTCATTAGCTGAGATGAAAAATGTACCTGCTAAGTCCACGCATTTACTCATTGTAATTATCCAATCCCTTCGCTTCTTAAGAGAATAATTATATATGTTTAAATCACATATCTCCCCTCCCATTTTTTTAGATCTTTATTTTTAGTATCTCCAAAACTATCTGTGTTGGTGCGGTGCAGGTAAAACTATGATCGTTCGACCCGTGAAAGCATTATGGGCCCTAGCGTAAATTAAAGAAAATACGTTGCTACAGATGTAGCTCTTCTGACTACCAGGGCAAAGAAAAAACCCATTGTTCCACTCATTGTTCAAGAGAATTCGCTTCTTTAAGTTCACTTGGGTCATGGGCATTCGGTGCTTCGATGGTCGTGGTGAACTACTTATCATGACTACCGACAAGTACACGCCCATTCACTTGAATTTACAGAATCTCGAAATAAAACACCACTTCATGAATGTCATTAAGACATTCACCAAGGACAACTGCGACATATACGGGTATATCACAGGATCTGACAAGATCGGCCACTTCTTCATTAATTTTATAGAAAACGAGCTGCGTCCCATTAAAAAAGATTATAAAGTTTAGTTAAGTTCTAGCGTTTATCGATTTTCCTAAAATTTTACAGAAACTCGGAAAGAAACTATCACCGTTAGCCTAACACGGACTGATGCGTCATTATTTTTTGTCTTAGGTTCGACCAAAGTTTCCTTAGCTTTACTGGTATATATAGTAATTGAGTTGCGAGACATACCAGAATCTAACCGCAAACGCCTCCTACGCCACATAAAAGTGCAAAATAACTGCCAACCCGGGACGATAAAATTATCTTTTTGCTCACTGTTTACAAGCCATGAGATTCGTGGCGTTCGGAGAAAGAGAAAGTTTGAAGAAGTAGGCGATAACAGTTATGTCGCATTGTAATAATCGCAGGTGTAGCGATACTCGTTTGTCGAGAGGAGACTTAGTTAATCACAGTTGATACTCCCATCATTTTTATGAGTTTGATAAGGTTATAAAACTGTCAAAGTTTTCCGTTCAAAAACGTAAGAAATGTATGCATGTAGTAGTGTTTTATATGTGACTGCGACCCTTTGTACGGACATGTAGGCCTATATGTGTACATGTATGTTAAAAGTAACTAAGTAAAAGTTCTCATATCAAACTGAATTATTTACTTTTTTCTCACCTTTTACTGTTTGACTATACTTAATCAGACATTGCATGTGCGTACTTTCTGGTAGTTACTGTTTTAAAAAAAGGTTTGAATAACATGAGTGAATGAAAAAAAAAAGGGTTATAAAAAGGGCAGCTGACACGATGTGAAAAACACTACACCGATGTAGAAAACCCCTAGCGAAATATCATCTATTTTGTACCACTTGCAGCGTCTTATTTAACGGTAGTTTAGGGTAAATTGTGTTTACTGAATACACCTGATAGGCTCTCAGGAATTTCACAACAACAACGAGGTATTCCGCTATCTTTTTCGACCCAGGTCAGCGAACATGAGCCTGCACCGTGTGTTTCGCTTCAGTTTTTTCTATTCAACAATGGTCTTCTAAATCCTACCCTGAATTTCATGGATTACCGGAAGCTCACTTCTATTATTCCTTGCACTAGAGGGTTGGGGGAGGGGGTGGGGTAAGTAATCTCTGAAACTCCGGGTTCTTTTCCGCTGTAATCTTTAAGCTGTTCCCTTTCGATAACAAAAATTCTCTCTCTATCTCTGTCTCATAAAATGTAACATTTTGAAAAACCCGCCATAGAGATAACACTTATCTTATCCATCCGTTCCGATTCAATACCACATCTAATAAAAATACGTATTAAACAGAGTCCAAATGAATTTTTAAAAGAAGCATGTTTCATCGTAGATATGAGTCACTAGTTATACCAGTGGGGTCAATCCGTAATTCCGCTTCCCATTAACGTAATATACGCTTACCGAGCATGTGCACTTTATCTACACAATGTTACACAAGGTGTGTAATATTTTTAATTAAAGGTAAAGAAAAGATGAAGTTTATTTCAAATGTTGTGAGAGGAATTTGAAAGCGAAATATAGCGCAGAATGGACAATGAAGTGGGCAAGGCAAAAATGGGACCCTCATCATAGCAAGTTTTGCAGTCTACACGAATCAGCGGTTGTTCTCCCGAGTTCATTCTCTTAAAATCGTGTCTAACAATATCGCTAAATGCTTGGGCCAATTGGCGTAATGGACGGTGCTGCCTGAAAGGCCACTTTAAGGTCAGTCTTAGCCCTCAAAGCTACATGCATGGGCTGGCGAATCCAGGGAAACGTTTATTCTGTAAACAATAAACGGAAACCGTACTTTCTGTGGTGTTTTTCTCATTGTTTTACCAGAATACCTTTTTTTTCTTTTTCAGCCGTTTCAGACTCTGTGGACATGTGGCGGTGGTGTATTTTGGCGCTGTGGAGTTTGGTTGTGAATTTCGGCATTCTACCAGGTTAGTTTAATGATTGTATAGCCGTGAATGTGTTATAAAGCTGTGACCAATATATAAATTTTAATCGATTTTCCGAGTATTATCTCAACGATTTCTTATCACCTACATGTATCTTACCTGTTGTACGAAGAAGCACTAAACATTTAACCCAGAAACGACTTGTTGCAATCCCTCCCCTCCCCTCCCCCGCTCCCAGCGTGCGTTGCTAGGAAACAGATGCATAGGTTAAAGATTAAAGGATTTCAATCCGCAGGTAATTGGAAACGTTGCATTGAAAGCATCAAGATACAATCTCCCTACCCTTTTACAATACTGACTTTCAAACTGGATATTTGGTACTTCTGCTTACTATCAAATTTTGCAATTGGTATACAGGCATCCAGAATGATCTGTGTAAAAACAAATAAAGTCAAAAAAGGATATTGATATATCTGCTTAAGCTGAATCCTGCTTGGATGGAAAATGGTTTGAATAATTGAAGTCAGAACGAAAACCCAGTGTGTTGTATTTTTTGATCAATACTAGACGTAGAATATGTGAAGATAAAAGAGAATATAAGAGAACGCAAGCATAAATGGCACCCAATTATGCGAAACTAACGAGATTCTGAGATCTGCAAGCGTTAAGCGTAAAGCATCTAACGGAAGATAGAGACGCATTTGGGATGCTTTTTTACATGTACAAATTATTTGTTAAGATTGATGGGGAAAGTAAACGTCGAATTTGAAGCGAATACAATGGATATATTTTATTTTTTCATTCGATATATGTAGCTGTGCCAATTCAACCATCACGTTTGCTTTATTTCATGGACTTTTTACGAGAGAAAGACTCGTTTTGTGGAAACATCATCTCTGTAGTTTAATTAGAAATGCATTTCTCTATCATTATATTGATTTGGAGCGAAAAATTATATTCTAATAACGTTTATTAAAGTAACACATCTGTATGGCTGTGAAAATAGAACTGTTTTATTGCAATTTATCGTTGCATGAAATAATGTTAACCTTGTGTAACAATTGCTTTTTTAAAAATTTTGGCCTATGGCTTGTGGTAGTGACAGCCCTGTTCTTGTCTGATTTCTATGATGGTACGATAGGGAATGTTTGTTAATTATCTCTCTCATGAATAAATATATGTATAGATAAACGAATAATAATATAAAAAGGCAAAGAAAGAAAAGCAAAAGGTAAGAAAGGTATTTAAATGTGCATGCTTATCACGATTGAGCCTCTCATTACGCTCAGTAGTAAAATACGATCGTCTTATATGCAATAAATAGCGCAAAAGTAATCCCCTGAACATATTCCAGGAAATCTGCAAATAAAACAAGCGATTTCAGGAAACTTTCATTCATTTTCCATTCGTGTCTATGGCATTTCATGGCTCAGCAACACTGCTTGTAGCATTGTACGAACTGGGAATTGCCAACCGAGTAAAACTGCATGAGACCCCAGATGAACGAGAAAATAAACGACTACTTCGGTTGAGAGAAAAGATGTACGTTTCAATTGATCCCCTGAGCTTTGAATAATGAATGCGTCTAACTTGGCTATCTATAGACCATCTACTTTGATTAAATGACATTGGTCGATTAGAAGCGTGGGGGCAGATAGGAGCATTGGAGGATATTTCTTGGCTGTAGCAAGGTTGAGGCAGATATGGTTAATCAGGCTCTCTTCTCTCTCTCTTGATACGGCCTGCACGTTATTAGTAACATAGTAATCGCATTTTCACATTTTGTGTGGTGGAGGGGGGGGGGGG